TTTAAAAAAATAACAATCAATACTTTGCATTTTATAGCATTGACAGAATGCTATAAAAATGTGGAGAAGTAAATATTGTTTGCCATATGCCAGGTAGCCAAGCCATATCTAGCTCACCTTTTAGCCTCCGAATCTAAAGCTGCAACGTAAGCTATGGATTGAGGAAACCTGACTTAGGCAAAAGCTCAGATGAAGTGGGATGAATCACCCTGCTGTTAGGCTCCTGATGGAGGTTCCAGAGCCTTCAAGTTTAGGCTCCTACACTGCCTTTAGGTGAGCTGGGCAGCTGAGTGCAATAACAAGGAACTGGCTTGCCTTAGGACAGCTGATGTAAATTGCTGAGTACTTGGAAACATATCTGAGGTCTTCACTGAGAACAAGAACACTTAAGTGCAAGCATGGTGCAGAAGAAGAAGGCAACAGGAGCTGAGACATGAGAAGCATGTCTCAGCTAGAACAATTCGTAATGCTTTAAAGTCTGCTTTTCAACCAGTCACCTGTCTATACATGTGTGTATATATATATATATCCCTATTTCATTTCTAAAATCTCCACTGAATCACTCATTTCCACCTGAGACTCAAGACTGAACTGACCAACATCAGTAATTTGTATTCAGCAAGCAACCTGGACTATACCTTCCTACAAAAGTGCATCACTGCCAGCAGTTCCTCAAGAATGTACTGGAGCCAAGTCTCACAGTTCCAACCACTCCGAAAAATTTCCCATCTTTCATTTAACACGTTTTGTTTATTTAATACTGTAAGTTCTTTGCTTCCTGTTGATTTATCTTTCTAATGCAGAAGCCTTGACATGTATTCAAAAAAGGTAACTTTTGTCTTTATGGGAAAAGAAGCTTATTGAATAGCCAAAGGATGTCTCATACAGGAAAGCCACATAAATGGTGCACGAAGCTGTAAGAATCGCGCTGTTAAATGGGAGACGGGGGCTCCGGAACTGCTGCAGACTTCCTGGCCCTAAGGGGAATACTGAGAAGGTCTCCCAGTTTGAAGAGGAATTGAAATTGTCAGGGAAAGAACAGAATCTGTTCACCCTTAAATTCCTAATTAGAGAACTCATAGTGGGAAATGACCACTTAAATGATGAGCAAAAGGAAACTGCCTTCCTTCGGAAGCGGCAAGCTCCTGTGTTCACAAACTGCCACTGTGATTTGTAATCCGGATTATAAGTAGAATAATTTCCAATTGGGGCGGTAATTTTATCTGTATTATTTAGGTTCTCTCTAGAAATTCATATAAAACAGCTTTATATATTATTATGCTTTATATATTATTCATATACAGCTATATTTTCTATATGCTCCATAGTGTGAGTGACGCTGACGTGAATTCTTTAAATGTCACTCATTTGTGCTCCACTTCTCATACTTGCCAGTATTTGAACCTCAAAACAAATCCATTCAGTATATTCAGATTTTTACATATATCAATCTCAGTGGTAAAAAAAGGAAAAGAAAGTAAATGCTTAAACAGTCTTAAAATTCCCATTTTGTTTTAGCCCTTATGTTTTACATATGGCGAAACTGAATTTCTCTGTAAGAGCTATGTATGTCCATGGGAAAGTGTCATCTTAAAATATGCTAAAACATTAAAAGTAATGTTCTGTAGAATTACTCCACTATAACTGAGTTAGAATTATGCCAAATACCTGGCCAACAAAAGTACTGTCTAGTTAGAGCTATTAAGAAGGCTCTGATCCCATATTCCTTTGACAGTTTAAGGGATTACTGAGCCTAAGTGTGCTTTCATGAGAATGAACAGAAAGTGTGACTGGATTTAGAAATCTAAGTTAATACTCTGCTTCAGATTCTCATTATTATTAGTTGGGGCCATCCAAAAAGAGCAGACAAGTTGTTTTTCTTGTTGGTAGTGAGATACACGCCATCTGGTAGCTTGGAAATCTAGTCCTGATGTCAGTTCTCTAATAAAAGAATATCCAGAGAAACATTACTGCTTCTGCATGAATAAAGCCATGGTACTGGAATGCCAGAAACAAACCAAAAGAGGGAAATTTTTCTCCAGAGACTGAAAAAATAAGGCGAAACACAACTAATCAAACAAGTCACAGTTTAATTAGCTGCCTTTTGAAAAGCAAAATGCTGGCTGAGGTCAGACAGAGATAGGAATAAGGTGTAAATGAGCTTATTTTGGAGAGACTTTTTGCTCTATTCAGTAAAATTACCCATATATTTTCCCAGTGAGGTCAGGGAATATTTTTTAGGTCTTGCCTAAATATTTACATCTTTTTGATTCAAATTTAGCCACAATTACAATGTAATTTGTTAAAACATGTTCCTTTTTCCATTGACATTTTCTTGCCTACACAAATTCATAAATAGTCAGCTTATTGAAGAGACACGAAATATTTCTCCTTCAGCACAATGAGACAAAAGCTGCAAAAAGGGCATACCCCATTGACTTTAAGAAGGTTATATGGAACACATCAGTAAGCGAGGGCACAATTCCAAAGGCTATATTCAGCCTGAAAAATATGCTGAATAGGTGTAATTACAGATTCATGTATTTCTCATTTAAAATGAAAATGTAAAAAAGAAGTGAATTGTCCACGGAGCTGTTTTTCTTTAATTTTAGGCACAGAGAGAACTTCACAGGAAAGCTCCTTTCTAAGTACTTAGTGCAGACCACGAACAATCAGGCAGATTTCTCACGTGCCCTTACTTGTGGCTGAATAGCATCTTATTCCACAAGTAGTTCCATTGAACTTGGCTGAATGGCACTTACCGAGAATACCCGGATAATACCCTGCCCCATACATAATTACATCAGTTCTTGGCTCTGGCAGCGCTGTGGAGGAAGGTGCTATTCATATCTCAGTGGGGTTATTAGAATCTTAGAACCAAGCCCCCAAGCATTTCTTCAGTAACAGAGAAAGAACTGTCACTGCCTTGTCATTCCCAAAGGAGCGTTTTGCCTCAGCGTGCTCTAAAGGGGTTCTTCAGTGCAGTTGATGTGACCTTTTTGTCTTTCCTAAACTGATGTGAGACTGAGGTTTCCTTGCTGAAACTCCCAGAGGCGGTAGCAAAACTCCCAAACAGATTCACTGGAAAGAACCCCCTGTGCAGCTCTACATGACCAGCTGAAAACTGAACAGCATTTTTTGGAACTGCAAGCCAGTTGAGGCTGGGATCTATACTGATGTGCTGTTGAGCTCCAGCACAGCCTCCAGGAAGCCAGGAGGCAGCCACACTCCTCAGCATTCCTAGTCCTATTCCCAGCACCTTGGTTCTGGTGTGCGGACCAGAGAAACCCAATGGTGAGAGCCAGCCTGTCTGACTCAGCTCTCCTCCCTCATCAAACCTAAGGAGCCACACAACAGTAATATGCAAACACCTATTTTATTTTTTAATGAGAAAACAGAAGGAAGCAATGTCAACATTCTAATAAATAAAATTCTAATAAATAGCCCTGGCACAGCTGCCCAGAGAACCTGTGGATGCCCCATCCCTGGAGGTGTTCAGGGCCAGGTTGGATGGGGCCCTTGGGCAGCCTGAGCTGAGGGATGGCAGCCTTGCCCATGGCAGGGGGGTGGAACTGGCTGATCTTTAAGGTTGCTTCCAACCCAAGCCATTCTGTGATTCTAAAATGTTTAATTCAGTGAACTAACACAATCATATGTTTAGTTAAGGAGAGATACTCAAGGAAGAACTTGTTCAAATGAAATCTCTCTATCAACCTGTATCGAGTGCTCCCACCAAAGAGCACAGCTTGCCAGCTTTCCCAGTAAGCAGCCACTGAGATCAGAACACCCTACACATCCAGGGTGTCACCTTCAGGCCAGATTTGAAAACCATAGTAGAGAGGGGAGAAAACTAGCACCTGCATCTGTATCACATCTCCTGTGTGAGGAAGGAACAGTGCTTTACCATGCTGACGGACCTTTCCAGCCCATGAATAAATAAATAACATCCACGAGTGCAAAAAGTATTTGAATACTGTGCTGCACAAAACCAACTTATCTCTAAAAACACATGAGATTAAATCAACAACACAGAAGTTTCATCAGAAGGTTGCTTCTGTATCCTGCACTGCTTACCACCTGGGTGTGAAAATAAGTCTCCAAAAGGCAATCCTGTTGCATTACACTGTGATCACAGCATGGCATGCTGCTCCGCACTCACACGTGTTCAAATCCCTCTCCACACATACAGCTGTCCTCAGAACAGTTCTGAGAGTACATCTATCTGATTTTAAGAGGCTTAACACATGAGGAAGATGGCATGAAAACTTCTTGGATGTTTTCATGTAAAGCATTTGTTGCCCAACCAGTCTGAGAGAAGTCTTTTAGATCAAGTACTCTACTTTTAGAAATAAGTAAGTTTAAAAGTGACATTAAAATGTTACCAATGTAAGGATCGTGCACTGTAATAATGGCCAGCTACATCCATTGTATTTACAGTTGCATTTTTTCCACTGGGCTTTTAGATAGGGGGTGAAAATACTTTCATAAAGCAGTTCCTGCCAACGAGCAGAGCTCGGTACAGAGCTGCTGTCACTGTCACCTCACCCCGATCTTTGTTACAGAGCCTCATGGTTTCAGAAGCAGCACCACCTATTGGGTGGAAATGTAGGTTAGTGGCTGCTCCACCACGACAGCCCTATTGTAGAGGCGGTCACGGTTAGAACGGGCTGACGCTCCCAAGTTGCTCATACTTGAATGCAAGCAAACGACGCGTACTTCTAGCGATCTACTTGACAGAACCTTATAAAGTCCAAAAGAACGCTCGGTACAATAGAAACCCCGCCACTCAGGCTCCTAATATTTATATGGTGAAGTATTAACAGTGCTTCCAGCAGCGCCAACCGCCTCGCGCTGCTGTAGTAGCAGTGAGTAACAGCGCACTATCGCCGTCAAGCACTCCAGTTGAACAGATATCAATGAGCTGAAAATTCATTTGGTTACATAAGGAGTCCGACTGAAATCTATATGAATCCATACTCTGTGTGGAATCCGTGTCCCACATGAACGGTTGAATATTTTGCTTTTCACGGCAGCAGCTACCTCTCGTTTTAGGGGAATCACTGACGTAGCCAGTTCTTGGAGAACAAGTCTTTCTCCGGGCGCGGGGGGCTGAATTTTCGCCCCCATCCCTGGATTCCTTTACAAACACTTCACGCAAGAGGCGAGAGCCCCATTTCCCAACACAGGGCCGCAGGGACGTCGTTCGGTACCGGTGCCGCCCGCGGGCTCCCGCCGCCCCCGGACCCCCGGGACCCGCGCGGCGTTGGGGCCGGGGCGCCGCGGAGGTGGCGGAAGGGCAGGGGACCGTCCCAGCCGCGGGTGACGGCGCGCTTCCTCGGGGTCGAGCGGCCGCTCTTCGCTCTCAGCCAAAGGGGGGAGGGAGAGGGGGAGAACGGCGCCGGAGCCGGGGGAGAAAAGTTGGTGGGAAAGGCAGAGCTCGGTCCGTGGGAACATCACTCACCCGCTCGGAGGATACAGACGAGCTGGATGCAGGCAACCCAGCGCCTTAGAATGAGCATGTCCAAATCGTCCCGTTCCTCCTCCCGTCCGCCGCTCCGTCCGTCTGCCTCAGCCGCCGCCCGCGCGGAGCTGCACCTCTCGTGGGGAACGGCTCCGCGCCGCGCCCCGCGGCCGCCCCCACGCCGCGGGCGGGCCCAGCCGGTGTCGGGTGCGGGGTGCGGAGCGTCGGGCGCTGGGTGCGGGATAATGCCTGCTGCCGGGGCCGCGCTCAGCGCATGGCGGGGCTGCGCCGGGGCCGCCTTCCGCGGAGCGGCCGCGAGTGCGTGAGGCGAGCGCGCGGCGGGGCCGGGTGCGTGTGCGCGCGGGTGCGGGAGCGCGATGTGTATGTCGGGGCGCGGGGGCGCGGGGGGGCGGGGACCGCGCGAGGGTGACGTGTGCGCGCGTGTGAGTGTGTGCGTGTGTGTTTGTGTGTATCTCTGCCTACGGGGTGCAGGAGCGAGAGCCCGAGGGCAGCGGGGAGCTGCCCTCCTCCCCCCCTAGCAGCAGGGAGGGGGTGGGGGCCGGGCTCTGGGTTCCTCTGTCAGGCGGCCCTCCGGGATACCCCCGAGCGCACACGGCCACGCGAGGGAAAAGTTTATCGAGGGGGTTCGGGGTTATCAGAGGGCGGCGGGGTCAGAAGCCGGGCGGTGCGGGGCCAGGGAGCATCGCAGCCCGCTGCTGGGTGGGAATAACCGCTGGGCCCGGCGGGGTGGGTGCTGCCGGCGAGGAGCTGGTGGAGATGCAGGCAGCGCCCGAGCCGGGCAGCGCCGCTCCGTGCTCCTGGGAACCGGAGGGGGAGCGGGGGAAGGGGCTGGAGCGGCGGAATATCATTATCCGCTCTAGAAGTGGGTCAGGGCGCAGGCACTGGCATCGCTGCTCAGGGAGGACAAAACGAGCGTAAAAATAAAAATAAAGGGAAAAAAAAAATGCAACAACTCTCAACAAAACCCCAAAGCACCCAAATGAGAAGTGTAAAATTAAGGGCTACAAACAACACGCCACATGGCTGGGACACCTTGGAACAGCACTTGGGGCTTTGGGAGTGCGAGGACACAGCCGATCCCCCACCTCACCCCAGGCAGTGTGAGCAGCACTGTGTTAGTGGTGATGTTCCTGTCAGGGTGGTAGGAACAGCTCTGCACAGGCGTGAGGTGGCATTTAATGGTGGGCAGCCTCAGCACAACAGCATCCCGTGCCTTACAGGTGGGCGTGCTGCTCTGCCCTCCTTCCCCAGGTATGGGAGCTGCAGCCTTTCCTTCCAGGAGAACATAAAACTTTCAGTGCCCCTGCTCTAGCTGGGGAGGAGTTCTCTTGTCATGAAGCAAATTGGCAAATTCAGAGTGAAAGGCTGCAGGAGAAATTGCCGAGGTGTTCAAGCTTTGTGTCTGGAGAGCAGGCGGTGGACGTGTCTCCCATGCAAGGTCAGCATCTTTCAGGATATGCAGAGCTGACATACATTAGAGGTTGGTTCATTAGGAGGACTAGCTCTGAATGACAGCTCTTGTCCAATGGACTCCTGGTGTCATGGCAAGAGACAAGTTCCATGTGCTGATATCCCCCAGCAAAAGACTATTTTAGGATTATCCTAAAGGAAAACGTTGCTAATGATTGTAGTCAGCTGATTTTCCTGAAAGAACCCAGATGCTAGGATACTACTGCAGTAACTTCAGCGCAAACATGCTCAAACACAAATAGACATATGCATGCCAAAGCATTAATACCAGTGGGTAATCTATTTGAGATTCACTTCAACTCCAGCACCATTCTGCAATTGGCTTAGATTCTTAGCAGCAATAGGAATCGTACAATATTGCACTGATATTACTGAAATACAATAGTATAAAATACACAGTACTCAACAATTTCCAAAGCACTGTATGAAGTAATACAAGTTCTTTTGTTAAAGGTCACAGGTGGGAAAGAAGGAATATTCAGTCACTCTGGAGATGGATTCTCACCACCACACCTATACACAGGTACTTTATTACAGACCAAGGCAGGGTGATATATGGCCATTTGCTGCTGCCAATGCCCACAGGACGGTGGAAGGACATGGCTGCCAGGATCCCCCTCCACCTGGCTATCCTCAAGCTGGGAGGTGGATGTGACTTGCTCATGAGTACATGTGAGCCTGTAGAGCTATCAGTTCCCCTCCATCCTGTGGGGATCACTTTTTGTGTCCAGATTTCAGATGTTCTCAAAGCTTTGTGACCAGCTGACAAGGCTAAAGCATCACCTCCAGCAGCTGCTATTGCAGTTATCTACACAGGGAGGTACTGGAAAAGCTTTGGGTAGATCAGTGTCCTTCTTTCTTGTAGGGTTTCTTTAAGAATTCCCTTTTATTTTCATCACAAGCCCATCACAAGCACACCCACACCAAAGGGCAATCCCAACATTGATAGGTGGCATTAAATATTTCCTGATTTTCCACAGTAAACCACCACACAGAAGGAATCTGGTTCTGACAGTCTTTTTGCCAATAGTTAACTTTGCCTTTCGGTAGGTGACACACTGTTTTTTTTTTACCAGGAGAGCAATGAACGTTTAGGAGAGATCACCAGTAATTGTGTCAGACTATCCATCATTTGAAACCTTTGCATCAGGAATTTAATGACCTTAAAACATGATCACAAATGTCTACACTAACTCATGAGCAGTTTTGTAGCCTGGACTGCAGAGGCAGAAAGGATGGGCTCTAAGGCTCATCTCTGGCCTGTCACTGTATATGCATATTGTCAGGATAACAACAAAATGATAATATCCTGATGTTCACAGCCACTTTCAATAGTTGCCAAAGGTTTAGAAAAGACACAAGCCCTGGTACCAGTTGCTACAGTGCCTCTGTGGTTCTTGCACTGAAGAATGATTGGTGAAGGATTTTCTGCTTGGTCTGACAAATGCTTGGCTGTGGTTGAGTGATGTCACTCATCCTCACCTTCAGCATTCATATCATGGTGTTTTAGCTTGTCCTGATATTCCATCAAACTCACCAGAATTAATTTGGAAAACGTGTTAAGTGCCAAGCAAATTGATTCAGTAGCTATACTGACATGGTATCTATCACTGTGCCTGTTTTCTCCCATATAGGTAACCCATAACGTGACACAATAGCAAGTAAACATGAAAGAAGCTCGAGGTTAACATTTCAGATTTCAATTTTTTTTTCAAAATGTAAGTCTTCCTTTAACCAATACACCCTTTAGTAAATATTTTGCGGTTTGCATTAAAATTTTCTTCTATTACTTAATATTTTCATTTGTGATTTGGTGGATATTAGCAGATCTTGATGAGATACTGATCACTCTGTGCATTCAGTATTTTCTCCTTTTCATAAGTGTTTCCCCCCTTATGTTTTTTTACTTATTTAATTTTTCTTCCTCTATTCCTCTCATGTGGTGTTAAATATTTTCTTCAAATCTGCTCTTCTTATCCATTGTTACTTTTTTTTTCTCAAATGAAACTCTCTTCAGTGTTGATACTGTATTCTTCTTTGTATTGTGACAATCTTGTTATTTTCCAGAGTGAGTCATTCTGTGTCTTGTTTAGCTTTTTTTTTTTTCTTTTTTTTTTTTTTTTCTTTTTTTTCCCAAGCTTGTTTGGAGTGCCTATGTTTTTTATTTTTTTATTTTCTTTTTCAGAACAATGTCAATTTCTTGTTGCATTTATCTTCCTCTTCTCTTGTGGTAAACGTTTTCATTTCCAGCGCTGTATTTGATATTTGTCAAATTCTTTTGGGGGTTTATATGCAGCTTTTATTTTCATTTTTTTCCTCATACAATAGTTGTACCAACAGCATCTGTTGGTATGTATTATACAGTATGTTTCAAAGAACCTGGTGGTCTTTCATTTTTAGTTTCTACTTTGCTCGAGAAACCCATGTGTAAATTCCAAACATTAAAAAAGATGTGTGCAAAAGCTGGCAATGGTTATGACAGCCATGATAAGGAATATTATCATCTATGAGAACATGAGAACCTAATTAGGTTTAACAAGGCCAAGGTGTTTCACTTGGGTTATGGCAATCCCAGATATGAGTATAGACTGGGAGAAGAACTCCTTGAGAGCAGCCCTGCAGAGAAGGACCTGGGAGTCCTGCTGGATGAGAAGCTGGACATGAGCCTGCAGTGTGCTTTTAAGCCTGGAAAGCCAGCTGTGTTTGGATCTGGAGCCTCTACACAAGAAAGAGAGACATGGAGCTGTTGGAGCAGATCCAGAGGATGACTGGAAGATGATCAGAGGGCTGGAGCACCTCTCCTACAGAGGAAGACAGAAAGTTGGGCTTCTTCAGCCTGGAGAAGGCTCTGGAAAGACTTAATTGTGGCCTTCTAGTATTTGAAGGGAACTTACAAGCAGGAGGGGGATTGACTTTTTACATGGTCTGATAGTAACAGGACAAGGGGGAACAGACTTAAACTAGAAGAGAGGATTTAGGTTAGATATTAAGAAGAAATTTTTCATTCAGAGGGTGGTGAGGAGCTGGAACAAACTGCCCAGAGAAGCTGTGGATGCCCCATCCCTGGAGCATTCAAGTCCAGGTGGATGGGGCCCTGGGCAGCCTGAGCTGGTGAGTGGCAGCCCTGACTATGGCTGGAGGACTGGGACTAGATCTGTAAGGTCCCTTCCAACAG